TGATCTGTACTCATCACAGATTTGGCAACAAATAGCCTTTAAACTAGTGACAGAGAATGAGAAGTGCTTTCTACCATTCGAGTGGGCAAATTCCCACTTTTTCCAGCCAATGCTTTAATTGAGCGAATTCATTTCTTTTTCTGGCAATAAAGCAGTTTTATCCAGTTCTCCGTTGCAGTGCAGCTAAATGAGTTCATCAGGTGTGTTCTTTTCAAATAACAGACTTGTTTTACCTTTAAGATATCCTGCAGAAGGCAGATGTGTCACATCAACATCACTCAATGATGGGTTGTCATTATTCTTTACTGCGCTGCTACTGACTTGCATTAAAAAATGAATAAGTAGCTCTCACTTATTATGCCCAAGGGGATTTTTTTATTGCCTTGATAATCCATTTGTGCAATTTCCTTTGATCCAGTTGACTAGGTGACTGCCAAACCCACAGTGTCTTCTGTTTTGTGCCAGGTTGAATTGTCTTGTTCAACATGATATGCTCCAGGATTTCTGTGCACAGTGTGTGGAAACTGGATCCTTCCATGTCTATGGTGTTTGCATTAGCTGGTGAAAAGCGAGAATGGAAAGAATGATTTGTTCCCCAGTAACCATATGATATGCATATATGTTCACAACAACACTTAAAACTATTGGACAACTATGATGGAAACCAACTTTGAGGCACTGAAATGGTTCTTTCATTCTGTTAACCATAATGCTCAAATTTAAGCAAATGCTATTCAATTGAAAGGGGGGACAGTTATATATGGTAACTCTTGGTGTTTAGAGTGGGACTTTGGATAGGAAGTGGTTTTATAAGTTGTGTATTATTATTGTCAGCATGGTCATGGTGAGTCTATGTTTCATAAGTTTTGTCTTATAGAATTCCGTGACTTATGTAAATCGTGTCCCTGACATAGACCCTCGTGCACAAAAGTATTTCTAGTCAACAGGACAATCCTTTTGCCCAAGAGAAGTTAGCCCCTTTAAAAACCTTAATTCAAAACACTAATGGAGCATCTGCTATGGGTATGACATGAACGAGATGCCTAGAAATGAATGAGAGGTTGACTTTGTCTTTAAGGAACTGACAGTCTAGCTGCTAATTGGGAGGTTAAAAAAACAAACGAACACATAAGTGCCATCAAGTGTCATAAAAGAAAAATAGTCATGGGAGAATAGATTATGGTTTTTATATAGTCTTTATGCTTTTCCTGAATATTTTGTCCCACTTTTGAAATCATCTCACCAGGATCCATCCTCTCAATGGGCTTCTTGATGCCAAGTGCCATATTTATTTATCATTATATCCCCGTACCTAGCTCAACGTCTGGCAGTGGCTCATATGTTATTGCTGAACTGACAGGATTGAATTGAATTGAATCCAGTTGAATAAAATGAAATTACTTGTTTGGGATCATAGTCTTCAGCACCATCAAGAATAGGTTTGTCAGCCTCTTTGGACAATTCTTCTCACCTCATATTTACCAAGCTATTTGATAAAACTGTTTTCCTTTTTTTTTAACTGAAAATAATATATACTAATAAATTTAGAGGCTGCATTCTGCTTGCCCCCAAGCTACGCTGATGGTCTGTTTTGCATCTGAGCCAATTATTCTTACCGGCATTAACTGTTGTCAACAAATTTTATTGGGTTTCCCTTTTGTCCCTGGAGATTTACTGTGTGTGGAAAAGTAAGCTCTAAGCATTTACAATCTCTGAAATACTTATTAGAGGAAAGCAGTCTTCTCCACCTTTATCTCCTGTCAATTGACTCTTATTATTCCTTTTATCCTTATTTTCAAAGATTTTTGTGGCTGTATCTATCGTTTATTTTAAGCTGCTTGAAATCCATTTTGAAAGTATGGATATTTTTTTTTAATGGTGGAAGGCAGTTTCTGATCTTAGTTTGAAATTCAAACATCTAAAAGAAAATTGCCTCCATGTCTATCTTTTTTGTTGGGCCAGAATGTTTAATAAGGAAAGGTTTTTTCTTAACCTATTAGAGACAGCCCTGAATAAAATTTTCTATCATTCTTATTTTGTATAGATTGACCCAGTGTTGTGAATGAGCTCAAATTGCTCTATAAGCCCAAGTTCCACTAGAACACAAGTGGAAGCAACCCTCTAGATCAGCGGTTCTCAACCTTCCTCATGCCGCGACCCCTTAATACAGTTCCTCATGTTGGGGTGACCCCCAACCATAAAAGTATTTTCGTTGCTACTCTATAACTGCAATTTTGCTACTGTTATGAATCGTAATGTAAATATCTTTTTGTTTTCCGATGGTCTTAGGCGACCCCTGTGAAAGGGTCATTCGACCCCCAAAGAGGTCGCGACCCACAGGTTGAGAAACCGCTGCTCTAGGTGATCTGGTTTGGGAACATTTTCCCAGCATAAGTGAAACAGCTCCTCTATAATTAATGCAGCTTCCCTAGACATTTTATGAAATGAGCTCCAGTGAAGAGCTAATTACTGATTCTTCCCTATGCATCACAGTAAGAGGGCATATCAACCAGTCTTGTGTGCTCATAGTCCTATGAGAAAAATGGTGGCATAATGGACGTGGTACATTGGGAAAGAGCTAGCTATTATCTTGCAAGATTGATGGAGCCCTCACAGAGGGTGGCTTGTTATAACCTTGTTTTGTGTGAAACTGTAAGAGGCCAAGAGCTTCAAGTGAAATAGGAGAAGTTAAGCTTGCTATTGATATAATTTTTGACAGCCATTAACCATTTTAACATATACTTTAAAGACTTGTGGAATTTCTCTCCTTGGAGATACTTTAAAAATTGACAGACAACCAGCCATCTTGGATGGTTTCAATTAAAAGCAACCAAAAGAAAGAGAGTTTCTGGGGTCCTTTTTAGTTTTAAGAGTCTATAAACAATCTCTTAAATAAATTGTATATGCTTTACCTCGGCAGTCTGGGAAAAAGGAAAAGTAAATCAATTAGAAAAGAAAGTTGGATACCCTTTCAGCTATTCCAGATTTATAGCTTTTATAAAACATGCTTCCAATGCATAGTTATTAAGAACAGGTCAGAATAAACAAATGGCATTCTTCTCGTGTTAAAACATACTGTTTGTAGAGTTTAAGCAAAACTTTGCAATGAATTTCATTGTTATTGATTGAAACAATCTTTCTAGATCTAGGTTATTATTATTAACTCAGGCTTCTTTCATTTGAAATATAGTGCTCTGAAAGCTACTCCCAGCCCTGCCATTCATTAGCTGTATGACTTTGGCAAACATTTAACCTTCTGGGCTGAAATGTCCTTGTCTATAAAACAAGGAGATTTTGTTCAAGTAAATGACCTCGTCTAACTTTAACAGACTCATAGTCTAGGTTGTAATTAACAAGGATTTGGTGCTGTTCAGGAAAGGAGAATTTTGGATTTAAGTATTGAGGGAAGAACATTTAATCTCCTGTATCTTCTTTACATAGTTTCTGTTTGTCCCCAAAGATAGGTGATTACAGCTACTTTAAAAAAGAGGAGCCTGTTTGTTTGTTTGTTTGTTTGTTTGTTCTGTTTTAAGTTGGGTTTCAACCTCTCAGAGATGGAATAGAAGCTCAGTCATGACAAAAGCCACACAGGTCATCTGCCCAAAGGAGCACACATCTCATGAAAACAGAAGACTATTTTTCTTTGCTGGGAAGGACCAACTGACAGTTCTCATCTTTACGTTTTCTCACTCTCTTGGACATGAGGACACATGAGTAGGTCAGTTTTTAGCTGCCGTTTATTAAATTTGAGGACAAATAAGAATCTATAGGCTTCTCAATCTTGACCAAGTGTTT